AAAAAAAAAAAAAAAAAAAAAAAAAAGAGAAGAAGAAGAAGTGAATATAGAAAGTAAACCTCTAAAACTTTACGAAGAATTATGATACTGGGATGAAGAAGAGAAGCAAAATATAAAATCCCAGAAGACTCAAAGGGAAAGATGGATATATTTGGTTATATAAAATTTTAGAACTTCTGTAATAAGCCAGTGCATCAGAAGCAGAGGAAACAAGACAGGAGAACAAACATCTTTTCCAAGGTTCCCTCTGTGAGCCAGCAGTGGGGCCTGGCACTGAAGGGATGCCAGGAAGTCAGGGCCTGGTACTCACTGTTGAGTCCCTCCTTGTTCACAATGGAGCTGCTGCCCAAGGCCTGGTAGTACTGCTGGTTGCTCATGAGCGTGTGCATACCTAGTATAGCTGTGGGGGGAAAAGAAAGCTAATGAATGCTCTTGGAAAAAGAGATGTCTTCTGGGGACCCTCCTCCACATCCCAAGAACTTTGCTCACAGAAATTGCAAGAAGCACTTACATGAATAATTTCAAAGGGTGAGATTATTTGTGCTTTCAGATCTCCATCCATTCTGGATTTCTCTTGCTGCTGATTTCATATTCCTAGGTTCCCCTGAGGTGCCACTGGCATGTTCCACTCAACATAGCCCAACAGAAGAAATCTTTTCTAGCACGGGGGCCGTAGCATGGGTACCCTCTGGGTACTCTCCTCCCCTCCCCCTGAGCCATTCAGCCTCCCTATGTCTCTCACATTGCCCCACCTCCCGTGACATCACCTCTGTCCTGGTTGAGACTCTATCATTTCTTGGCTGCTTCCTGACTTACAATGGTTCCACTTAAGATTCTTTACTTTATGATGAGGTAAAAGTTATATGCATTCCGTAGCAACCATACTTTGAATTTTGATCTTTTTCCAGGTTAGCTGTATTCAGTAAAATACTCTTTTGAGATGCTGGACAGCGGTAGTGAGTCACAGCTCCCAGTCAACCACACAATCATGAGGGAAAATAAAAGATACTCTACAGTGTACTGTGTTTCTGAGCTATGGTGTTTGGAAGGCTAGTGTATAAAATGGATTTGGACTTATGATATTTCAACTTACAATGGGATTATCAGGAAGCCACTACATCGTCATTCAATGAGTACCCGTATTATCACAGCTTTGGAATAACTGATATCCTAGCTTCCATCTCTTCCTACCTTTTTTCTCCCAACATTCAACAGAGAGAAACCAGAAACAGCTTTCTAGAAATGCCAGTATAGCCTCATCACCTCACGGTCCGCCATGCTTTCATCCACTCATCTACTGAGTGGCCCCAGTGTTGCCTGGATGTGGAAGGAAGGGGTCCAGAGGAGAAGAAGAAAGACAAGGTCTTTGATCATGATAGTCTGCCAGGGACAGGGGTGCTAAGCAAATCCCCACACCATTAAAGACATAAGCACAGGGTACAGCAGTGTTAAAGGGAAAGTTCAGTGTGTTCTGGCGGGGACAATATAGAAAAAGGACTATACTTTTGAGAGAAGGGTGACTGGTCAAGAGAAGTGAGCTAGGCATGGTGGGTAGGGAGGCCTGGAGGCGGGTGGGTTAGGTTGGAGGTTGGAGGCTGGTCATGTCACAAGACAAGATATAGGTATGTGGTAGTAATAATGACAGCAGTGGTCATAATATCCCCTAGTCCTGGAATGCATGCTCTGAGCATGGGAAGAAGCTTTGGATCAGTGATACTCAGTTTGGTTGCACACTGAAACACTTGGGCATCTTTTGAAACACCTCATGTGCAAGCCTGCTCTGGACCAATTAACCTGAAGTCTCTGGAGTTGAGGCCTAGGCATCTGCATTTTCTAAAGCTTTTCAGGTAGTTTCAATGGGTAGCTGAAGCTGAGAACCACTGCCTGACACTACCTTTCTTAATCTTCACGACCACCCTGCAGAGTAGATTTATCACATGGGCAAGATTGGATCCTAAGAAGTCTCCTGGGATGAAATGAATTTCGATATCTTTTCTTAGGCATGGCCTGGAAAGCCATTGAAGATTCGAGCAGGGAGCGAGGTGGTCTGAGCTCTGGTTGTGTTTGGAAAACTCACTATGGAGGGGTGTAAGTTCAGGAACCATGAGCCTATTGTAGCTGATGTAGCCTACTGTCCTGATGGGAGGATGGTGGCTGATGATGGCCAAGTTCAACCCCAGAGCCTGGCTTCTCCTACCCTCCCTGGACTGGCCCTACCTCAGCAGCCTTGTCTCTCACCCACATTCCTACTCTCTGGCTACACAAACCACCAACGCTCAGATTCTCCCACCTATGCCATGCTGTCCCTTCTGTGGGTGATTCTCCATACCCAGTAAAATTGAAATTTCAAATAGACAACTAAAAGTATTAGTACAAGTATGTCCCATTCAATAGTTAAGATATACTTGTATTAAAAATTGTTTATCTAAAATTCAAACTCAACTAGACATCCTGCACTTCATTTAACTACTCTAGCTCCCCCTCCTTCAAGACATGGAGAATCCCTCATCAGTGATCCTTTCTGATTCCTCCTGGCCCCTCTCCATTTCTCCCACAACCTGTTCTTATTATAGCACAGAGTGCCCAGTGTTAGTGACATCTAGATACATGCATACTTCCTCTGGTGGGCTGTGGGCTTCCAGATATCAGGGAAGAAAATTATTTCTCTCTCTTCCACCTCTTCCAGAATAAATTTATGTATTTGGTAATTAATTATTTGGTGATGATTTTTTTAAAGTCTCCAAGCTATTTAATTAGGAATGGCTACCAGTTAGAGAAACAATACAAGAGCTCTGATGAAGAGTCTGGAGACCCAAGTTCTAGTCCTCGTGATGTCCCAGTGTGACCTTGGGGAGGTCCTCTCCTCCCTTTGAGCTTCAGCTTCCTTGATCCTACCAAGGGATACGATAAGACCAGTGGCTCTCAATCAGAGCTATCCATGCAAATTACCCAGGGAGCTCATTCTGCCCTTGACTAACCTGTGTAAGTCTCTGGAGAGATATTTCTTAATTTCCTTGGATGATTCTGATGCTCCATGGGAGCCGAGAACCACAAGGTGAAATGATCTCAAAGTCCCTGCTGCTTCTCACATCCCAAGAGTCTTTGCTAAAATTAGCCTTGCCTGTTCATCACTACAGAGGACTGGTAGGGAAAGAGGCATCTGCAGTTTCTCGAGCTCTTGAAGTTTTAATATAGCTGCGTGGACGTGGGCAGCCGGAACTGAGGCCTGAGTCAGCGGCAGGTGAGTCAGATCATCAAGTCACCTTCTGGAGCTGGTACCCCCAGCTCCCTCATACAGCAGCTCACGGTGGTTCTGGATTGCTGGGTTTTCAGATTTAGAAACAGAATTTGGAAAGGTTGCTGGAAATCATGTGAAAGATGTATCCTCATATGGCTGCTGCTCTCACTTAAAATGTATCAAGCCAGACAATCATTTCTCATATCTTTATCCTGTTTGACTTTTTTTACAATAAATATTTAAGGCAAGTACTCTGAACCCCCATTTCCAAGGGAAATGATTTACAAAAGCCTTTTAGAAAGGACCATCCTGGCTTCTAAATTAGTATTAAATCTATAGGTCATTAGCAGTTCTATAGTTCTAACACATCCTCTCAACTCAGGAATTCTAAGGACCGATTAAATACATTTTTAGAGGTAATATATCCCAATAGCAGGCCTAAGACAAAATAAAACCATTTGGCAACTCAGAGGAAATTAGGGCTCAAAAGGAAGGAGGAAAGGTTGGAAGGGAGGGAGAAAGGGAGGACAAAAGGGAGGAAGGGTTGTGTTTGAATTATAAAATTTTCTTTGGATATAATAAACCATGACTTTTTGGCTGCTCAAAATAAAAGGGGGAGGGAGGAAAGAAGGAAGGAAGTGAGAAAGCACATGAAGGATGGAGGGAAGGAGTGGCTGAGGTCACCTGCCATTCTTTGAGCACAGTGCCTGGTGGGTTGAGGATAGCATTACCTTTGGCCAGCTCTGGGCACAACATTGTAACTGTCTCCCTCACTTGGTTCTGTGTGCTCCGTGCACCAAGAGTGAGCAATGGAAGAAAACAACATATCCACATGCCTGCTGCTTCTTTCTTTGTAGATATTGCAAGGCTGAATTTAGTACTGGAGAACTTGATTTTTTAAAAAAGTCTAGATCTTCCTCAAAACTCAAAAAGGACTATTTTTGAACTCTGAAAAAGAACATTGAGTTCTGCTTCCTTTCTCTGCCTTGGCAGGGTTCACTCCATTTGTAATTCCACTCAGGATGCAGGGTGCTAACAGGACATATCCCCAGCTTCTCCAGCTGCCGACAGCTTGGGCTGGTGCTGGACAGATGGCTGCAAGGTGTGTTTCCACAAAGTGGGGCAGGTGGGAGAGACTGGCTGCAGCCCAGGACTTGGGTGCTGTGGAACTGCTCCTGGATGAGCACAACCTAACAGTTATAAAACGGGAGGACAGCTGCCAAAGGGCATGAAAGAAACCAGGGTAGGGCTGGTCTGTCTGGCTAGGACTGCTTCTGAGAGCCCAAAGAACCAGGGCTAGCCAACTGCCCTTGGGGATGGGTGACCAGAGCCTAGTATGGAGCCTGGCACATGGTGGGTAGGAAGCCCTAGGTAAAGCCCAGACTATGTGCACGAGAGAACAGTGAAGGCTAAGTTGATGGCAATGCCATGCCTGGGAGCTAAGCAAGCAACTACAGGTGATCTGGAGATCATGTCCTCCTCTTCCTGCGTGTCCTCCTCTGATTAGTCATCACACTCATGGCCACAGCCACCTGCTCATTGAAAAAGGCCCCAAAGCCCCACCACCATTCTCTAGTGGGCTTGCCAGTCCCTTTGGCAATGGTTCCAGCTACCATCTCATGTAGAGTTTTTGAAGTTAACCTATGCAGGGCTGCTCTCCTTCAGGCACCCAGCTCCATATACTGGCATGTAAGGCCACAGAGCCTGGCATCCTCTGGGCCCCTTGACAAATGACCCAGCCCTAAGACCCAGATGATCTCTTGTGGAATGGTTACAATAATGGAATTTACCCTGTAGGATTGTTATGATCATTTAGTGCAACAAGGTACTGAGAACAACTCACACAGGCCCTAGGTCATGGCTGGTGCTCAGCAAATGTTCCCTGCTTTCTTCCCCAGAGGCACTGCCATCTTTTAGTGGCTGATATCAAAGGACAGGCATCTAGGAACAGCCTCTTAACACTGGGACAGACTCAGTCCCCCACTCCTTCCCAGACATCAGAAGGGCGTGGTATCGTGGACAGATAACAACAACCAGCCTGCCAACAAAAATTAAGAGAAATGATTTTAAAAAAAGCAATGCAGAACCTTAGCTCAGTGTCACAGTTCTGTTTTGGCTCAGAGGCTGGCAGGAGCCATGGTTCTGACAGCAGTCATTTGATAATCCCCCAGAGCTGCCTAATGAGGTGAGTGATGTCACACAGGGTGACCGCAGGAAAACGCAGGATAAAAACAGCTCTGGAGTGAATCGATGTGGAAACGTGGGACAGCAGCACCAGTCCTCCCTGCTGTACGGATTAACCTGAAGTGAAGGGAACCTCATCTATGGGTGGGTTTGAGGAACTACATGAACAGAATGTAGGCTGTCATCTGACTGATGTGGCTTCTGACAAAACACATCCTTAACTGCAAAGTAAACTGGGTTCCGGAGTTCAGTGCTCATGCCCACATGGGTGAGGTAGGCACTGCTTCTGTGCTTCATGGGAGGAACCCTCTGCCACTGCCATTTGTCCTTCCCCACATCACATCTTTCGGAGAAGGGGCTGTCTGGATGTGGGCTACACATCTGCTCTCCCTGTTCATTTTGGGGGGCCCATTTGCTATGGCCACCACTGCACAGGGTCACTCTTGGCACATCGTTGAATCACTGTCCCTCCTCCCATGGCCCTACTACAGATAAGTGCCATCTCCTTGTCCCAAATTATGGGTCGCACATGGCTCCCAAGAAAGGCCAAGAGGCTGGTGGATGTGATGAGGCAAAGACAGCTGCAGCCCATCTGGCCTCTGGCCTCAGTACCTTCTCCAATGTTTCCTATCAACCTGGAACCCTCATTCTGCCCCCTAAGTTCTTGGATCAGGTCTTCCTATCTTGACTTAGCCTTTGGTTCCAGCCCATTGTTGGCTAACTGGCCTCCATGCTAGGTTTGCCCCTTTTCTATGACTTGCCCCCACTAGAGATTCCTGCCTTGACCTGGCACTGGCCCTCCAGAGCCCGGGTCCCAGCATGTAATCTTCCCTGAGCTTGGTGACACTAACTATGCCCAGATCTTCAACCTGAATTCCACACCTTCATGCACAATGATCACCACCTTGGTGACCCACATGGAACCTCAAACATCACAGGCCTAAAATCAAACTCAATACTTTTCCTGCTCCCCCTGGCTTAAAGGTACCAATATCCACTTAGCCTCTGTGGACAACCTTTTCCCTTCCTGTAGTGACTTCACTCATAGCCAGTCTATCATGGTGGTCTCCTTTCTTCCCCCAGGCCCACTGGCCTTCAAAAACTGCCTACCATTTCACCTTCCTTCTTGCTACTGGCTGGGTGATGGTAGCAGCTCCCATGTCTGCTAACCCCACCACCACCAGAAAAAACAAAAAAAGCCTCCCAATCATTGATCCAGTACAACAGGCAGCAAATTGAGTGCTGAATGTAACTAGTTCTGGGGGACAGAACACAGGGCCCCTGGAGCAGATACTGGACAGTGGTAAGGAGAGAGGGGCAGGCAGTATAGAGTTCCGAATATCAGTCTACCTTCTGAGTTTTCGGGGTTGCTTGTAAAGGTTGTAAGGAAACATACATGAAAGTGGAGAATGTTGGATAGATACGAAAGATGAGGGTGGTACCTTGGAGACCAGCTCAAAGTTGTAAAATCAGGGGTCTTTCCTCATGCCCTTTGTGAGCCTCCCAACCTAGACAGGCCTGGGGTGCTCTGTTGGTTTCCTTCAGTTCTCTTTCAGATGACCTGGGCAGGATTTGATGTAAATGGCTGGGAAAGGGCCCACAGTGGCCCTCCTGGGCACATCCCTATCCCTCTGGGGAGGAGAATTTTATGGCAACAAGCGGCTCTGTGGGAGGGTGGGCTTGGATGCTTTTATCTTTATTTTCCTCGGTTTGGTTTTTCATAATGGATTTTTATCTTAGCACTGTTGATCTCTCTCTCTCTCTCTCTCTCTCTCTCTCTCTCTCTCTCTCTGTTTTGGTACTGGGGATCAAACTCAGGACCTTGCCCATGTGAGTCAGGCAGATTTACCACTGAGCTAAATCCCCAGCCCTATTGATCTCTTCTTAGAAATACAACATACAAATCAAAAGAAACCAAACAAGCTTCCCTGAAGATGTGTTTAAAACCTCTGGAAGACAAGAGGGAAGCTTGCGGAATACCTCTTACCTGCGATGTCACAGAGCTCTGCATCTGAGGCATTTGCCAAGGCTTCCTCCAGCTCCGGCTCTAGAGTAACAGTTTCCAGCACAGGATCCATTGGCTTCTGCTTAGGCACCCAGATCTTTCCTGTAAACATATGGGGCCTATCAGGGTGTGTAACTGTGATGGGGAACTGCTGGCAGTGGACCACAGCAGAGTTCTGTGAGTTCTCCCTGTGGACAGTCCATCTGGGGATGAACTTCCCCACAGAATAGGAATCAGGGGTCTAATATAGCATCCTTAAACTTGACAATGATTTTATAAATTGGCCTAAGTACATTACCATCTACTGAAAACACCGACCAACCTCTAGATAGGGGGAAAAAATACAAGAGAAAATGTAATAGAATGGCAGGGTTTGGGATACCTTAGCCAAGGGCTCTAATATGGGAGAAAAACTTGTAAACATTTTTAAATAAAATATACTCAGATTATTAAAATACAAAACAAAAACCCCACAAAAATGTTTTCTTCCTCATGGGACATTCTACTTTTAAAGTGTCAGGCTTATAACAGAATGAGGGAATAAAGTGGCAGGCATGAGGATATTCACTGTGTGTCCACCAGGAGGGACTATTGAAGAAATTATGGTGTAGCCCCCTTGCCATGGCATTCCAGCAGTTAGTAGACAGGACGATGGAGATTGCTACTTCCTATGAAGGTAAATACCCAAGATCAACATTATGTGAAAAATCCACTATACAAAACATCATGAAAAATAAATTTACTTCCATATATGAGAAACTCAATATATGCTACAGTTTGTCTGTTCCCCAGAGCTTAAGTGTTAGAATCGGTAAATTCATGTGTTAATGGTATTTGGGGATGGGACCTTGGGGAGGTAACTGGGATTAAATAAAGTCATTAAGGTGGGGCTCCCCTGATAGCATTAGTGACATTATGAGACAAGGAAGAAACATATTGAGTGCTTCTTATGTGCCAGGCCCTAAGATCAGGGACAAGACAGGATACCCACGTTTACTGCTGCTTTTCAGCGTTGCACTGTGAGGTCTCACCAAAGTAAATAGACAAGAAAAAGGAACAGATTTCAGACTGAAAATAAGGACAATTATTTCTGTTTGCAGATGACATGCTCTTATATGGACAAAATTGAATTTTCACATAGGTAAAAATCTGTTAGAACTAACAAATGCAGCAATTTTGCAGGGTTTAAGATCAACATACAAAAATAAATGACGTCTCTGCGTATCAGCAATGAACAAACTGAAAAGGAAATCAGGAAAACATTGCATTTACAATAATATCCAAAGAATGAAACTCTTGAGAAAAAAAATTGAAAGACTTGTGCACTGAAAACTATCCAACTTTGCTGAAAGAAATTAAAGATCTAAATGAATGCAAAAAATATTATGAATTCATGAATTGGAGGAATTAATATTATTAAAATGACAATACTACCCAAAGCTATCTACAAATTCTATGTAATTCTAACTGCATTTCTTGCACAACAGGAAAAGCCCATCTTTGAATTTAATATGCAGTAGCAAGAAGCCAAAAATATCCAGACAATCTTAAACAAAATCAGAAGACTCATACTTATTGAGTTGAAAAGTTAACTAAGTGGTGTGGTACAGGCATAAGAACAGACATAGAGAGGATGGAATAGGACTGCAAGTCCAGAAACAAAGCTAAATATCAACGGCATATTGATTTTCAATGACTGTGCCAAGTTCATTCAGTGGCAAAAATTATCTCTTCAATAATTGCTAGCACAACCGGATATTCAAAAGAATGACACATACAAAAGAATGACGTCCCGTGGACTTTTTATAAATGTCCCCTTCTGTGTGCCTTTTTCTCATTTATTAAGCAGTTACTTGGAGCGGGTCTCCTCGCTAATGCAACATGGATGGAGGTGACAGACAGATGCAGAACTTGGCTTGCCCTGTTCACATTTTGGGGGTTGGGGAGATGGAAGGGACTGGAAAGAGACAAGTAATTACACCATTAATCAATTAAAATGAATGCTTTCACTCAACCTATATTTATTAGACGCCTTTTATGTGTGAATAAGGCATATTAGGTGGGGAGATATAATGTTAAACAAGGCAGATACAGTTCTTACAGTCATGGAGCATGTGTTCCAAGGAAGTAACCCACACGCACATTAAACATCTACTTACTTTATCGCATGTATTCACCAACAACTGTCTGCTCAACCCTACTGTATACCAGGCCCTGTGCTGACTAGGTGCTTGGAGTACCACATGAGCAAAAACAGTCCAAATCCCTGCCCTCAGTAAGCATTCCAGCTAGTGAGAAAGAAAGCTAATAAATAAAGAGATACAGTTAAAATGTGAATAGGGAGGACACAACGTAGGCTCCCGGGGGAGGAAAATAACCAAGGGAGAGCTGCAGGGAGGCTGTGTGTGTTAGCAGAGTAGATAGGGAGGCTTCCCTGAGAGAGAAGGCAGCACAGCTGAGACCTAAAGGATAGTAACAGCTACTGCTTACATAGCATTCACTGCGTGCCAGATGTGCTGCTAAGAGCTTTAAATATCCTAATGCACTTAATTCTCATAACCTCAGGAGCGTGGTAATATTATCTCCAACACGCTCATTTTATGGAGGAAGAAATGGAGGTGATTTTGATGTCACACAGCTAGTAAGTAGTGGGACCCGGACTATAATTAAAGCAAGTCTAGCTCCAGGCTGTGTTTCTAACCATGGTACTTCTTACAGAGGAGGAAGTCAGCCACGAGGACACCATGGAGCTGGGCAGCAGGGCCAGTGTTCTGGACCTAGGGCTATTGCAAAGGTCCTGAGATGGAAAAGAGCTTGGAAAGTTTGAAGAACAGAGCTCAAACTTGTATTCTCCTCTTTGCTGCCTTCATGCCAATGGGCAAGAATGACAAAAGAGAAAGGCAGAATGGTTTTTAGGGCAATAGAAGGCCTGGAAGGGCAAACAGTCAGGGAGTATCTCTCTGTTCCCCTGGGGACTGCTGGGTGTCTTGTTGTAGGCTGGAGCAGAGAGTCTTGCAGGGATGTTGAAGCTGCCAGAGGGGAACTTTGGAGAAAGGACAGAGAGAGAGAGAGAGAGAGAGAGAGAGAGAGAGAGAGAGAGAGAGAGAGAGGGGGGGGGGG